TTCATCCGTTAATATCCTTTGTTTAATTAAGGATTTGGTCCAGAACCTACCCCTCCAAAATAGCCCCACTAATTTCAGCAGGACAATCTGTATGAGAAAAGATTATTCATGTGAGTAAATTCGACAGGATTAGGTCCTTAGCTACGGAGCCTCCAAACTCTTATACGTAAGACTAGTCCCATTGAGTTCAATGGGACTGATTCCCTATGCATTTGGGTCTTAGACTATAAATGCTTATGGAAAGAGGCTTTAAAAAAAACTTGTTACTTTTTGTTTACACTTCACACTTCTGGGGCTAAAGAAAAACAAATATTAATTTCAGCTAGATTTTGCTTGTGTGTGTTTGCATAATTGCCCCTAAAAGCCAATGCACATTCATCTGAAATAAATGTAGCTGTATTTGTTTAGATGTATGAAACGTATATGTATGTTCATATATTAGCAGATATGCTTCTGGAGCTCTTTGAAAGGTAAAACATTAGCAGAAAATTGAGTAGCATATGATTTTTTTTGAATGCTTAGAACTTTGATTTTTTTTTTAAATCAATTTATTCATTCGCCAAGGCACTTGTTCATCCCCCCTCCCTAGGTTTCAGAGCCCAAGCCATAACTTCAAAGCTCTGTCTACACAGCTATCTTTAGAGCATTCTCATGAGCCCCACCCGCCCAAAGCTGTCGACCCGAGCTGGGAGGCTTGCTTTTGCGGACTGGATAGACAAACTCTTTAAAGGCTAAACCCATGTGAATTCTCAACTTTTTCAAACTTTTTTTTAAACTGAGGGCAAAAAAGTCTTGGTGGGGGACAGAATGAGGTTGGGGGAGGAAACTTTTTATTTTAAATTCCTGTTCAACAATGGCCAAATGAATATTTTAGATTGAGTTCTGAACACAAATACCACACAAGGGAATAATGAGTATCTGCAGCAATGAGACCCGAGTTCCTGACTCTTTCAAGTTTCCACCTTTCTCCACAGAGACTGGAGGAAGAGAAAAGAAATTTGAGTTCCCCTGGGGAGACCCATTAGCTCCCCTGCCTGATCCCATCACTGTAGCACCATTTACCTTCTAGTATATTCTAGGTCCTCAGCAGTATTGATGTCCTCCAGTGTGCAGAACTCATGAGAATTAGCACAGAGGAGTCTGGCATGGCACAAGGGAGGAGCTGTGAGGTCCAGTTGCTCACTTGCTGATGTTGTCACAATTTCTCTTCTACCTCCCACATAGAGCAGGAGACAGGACACAGAAGACTTGGGATTTCTCTAGGGAATTCAATTTAGAGTTATAATATCCTTCTGGGGAAATCTCTGCTGGGACAGTGAGTGGATAGGGCTCATTTACCTGGCCCTATCCCCAGCTTGTCTGCTCTTCCCTGGCATATACACTCTCCTTTAGCTCATGGGAAGAGGAGATGCAGATTTCTCATTCCCACATACAAAAAGGGTCAACACAGCATGCCAATGGTCCCCGCTGCACCCAGATGTTAGTATAATCATTTAGTCTGACATGATTCACTAGTTTTAGGATTCACTTGGAATTTGTGTACAAAGTGAGCAAGAACAGTATATCCATCCCATCTCTAAATAAAAGCCATTACATGTACACACTGAACTAGACACGAAACTTAAAAAGTTACTCAACCACATTCATAACTAGCAAAGGAAATAAAAATCACAATGCCAGTCAACCTTTCCACCAGTGACAATACACGATAGTATTAAGAAAAACAATCAGTAAGCTGTAACTGAAAAGCAAGCCAGGTCACAGTGCAGATCCAATCTGCAATGATCTCAGACAACCCTAGCCTAAGCTATCTAGGTTTCGGTTACCTGAAACACTAATATCTTTCAAGGAAATCTCTCTTCTCACTCTCTTTCTCAGATTTTTTTTTTAATTTAATGTAATCAGTACCAGTGTCACTAAGTTTGCAAGTCTAAAATATTTGGCAAAAAGTTTAATATATGCAGCACTGTGATTCTCTGCATTTGTAGTTTATTCATATCTATATTTTGGTGACAGCTGTAGTTGAGGCCTACTGCATTGATCATAGAGTTTAGAGTCAGGAGATCTGAAATTTAGTCCCGACTCTGCCACTGAATAATTGTGGAACCTTGGACAAATCATTTAAGATCTGTTACCCCATCAGTGAAAACAGAAATAATACTTGCCCATGTTTGTAAATCACTTTAAAAAAATCTATGGATGAAAAGTATTATATATGGAGGGAGTGGTGACAGGTACTTCTTGTAATTACGGTACTTGTGTTTTTTTGAAGAGGATACAAGTGATTAGGTGACTGTGAACCAAAGCATTGCTTCTCATTCAATGGGCACATGGAACTGGGTTTAGGAGTCACCATTTAGGAATGAAAGTCCAAAGAGAGAACAAGTTTGTTCTGAGAATTCTCATTGGCATCCAAGACTAAACAGCTCAGTTTGCGTATTAGTGATTTGAACAAGAGCATATTGGAATGTCTAGTCATTAAGTATAACATGGTAGATTTTGGGAAACAGCCAAGGCAACAATGCCAAGTCAAACTGACTAGTTACTGTTATAATCTGTTGTAATTCAACTATTTTTGCAAAACTAGGCCTCAATTATTTTTTGGTTTTCATGGCAAACGATTAACTTAAGTATTTCCCCTTTTGTTTTTTGCATTGTACTTGTTATAGGCCAAGTTAGGTTAATAAAATAACATTACATTTTATTTATGGAGTTTCTCCCACCTTTGCAGAGTTGTCATAACAAAACAATAAAAGACAGCTATTCTTTGTCTTTTTCTCATGACATATCAGCTTCCTTTAACTGCTTGATCTATGGTCTAATACAATCAAAGCTTAATGTAAGTCCACTTAAGGCACTAATTTAAACGGTTCTTTATTCATTTGTGATCCTCTAATTGTCACATGTGCAGTATTATACTATATTCTCTTGGCTCTCAGTAAAATCTGTACAACCCTCTATCCATCCATCCACCTACCCAGTTACCCATCTACTTTCTCAATGCTCATTAGTATTTAAAAAAGTCATTAGTTTAAAATATGTATGAAAAATATATAATCCATGACTCCTGGCAGCTGTGGCCAACATCTTCCTTACCAATTATTAACTACTTTGGAGATATTTTATGTCTTCTTTGGAGTTTTTATTTTCAGCTCATCTGCTAACACAAATCAATACTGTACTAAGGTAAGAGAGATGTGTTTTACTGGTCCATTATTATACATCTTGTATGACTTTGAGCACTTCAACCTCTTCCTCCCACTCTTGAATTTCGAGTCCTTGTGCTGGGCTGTCCAACAGTTATACCACTTTATGTACCATAATGACATAGCAGTGTTCCATGCATCTTATTAATCTCAGCAGTGTCGAAATGTTAAACTAATATTGTAAAAATCCATATAAAATTAATACATTTTAATATATTCTTATCACTTGAGGGACAATCCTGCTCCCAATAAAGTGAGAGGGAAACCTCCACTGATGCAGGATCAAGTCCTTGGTGTTTCTGATTTTGGTGATTTTATTACGCACTTTCTTTTGGTAACTTTCTCTATATCTGATCAGCTGAAAGATTGGATTGGATGCTGGATCCACTCCCCTCTGCACTTGATTTTAAATAATATACACATTTATCATTTCCTCTCTAAGGATAAAGAAAAAAAAAACACATTGACTTCCAGCATATCTGTGCTAGTTATTTGTAAGTGTAAGATCAACATACCTACTATTGCTACAGAACGAACAGGTTAACACAAAAATACTTTAAAATTGCCAAGTCCACAGCTACAAATGCATGAGCCACTTAACAAAAATCAAATAAATCCTCGAGTGAGAGGTTTGACAGCAATGCAATAAACCAGAGTTACTATAGAGGCTCACCCTACCAGAGATCCCAGTGCAACACACAAACAGAAAACACTGATGACAGCAAGAGAGAAAGCAAAGGCCACCACGTAAGCATTCAAAGACCCCAAAAGGGAGTGCGTTTCCTGCTAGTGCTGACAGAAGGAACCGCAAATGCACTTACACTGGGCGATACACCACCCTTCGGCAGCTATCCGCGAGGGCGGGACAAGCACGTTCCTGCTACGCAGCCCAGTAGCTTTGTAAGTAAAGTATCAAGTAAAGTTCAAGCGCATGGCGAGCCTCTGGGTGGCCGGAGGCGGCCAGGTGAGCTGGGCAGCAGTGGCAGGCGGGCGGCCCCGCCCCCTCATTAGCTGGCGCTTGCAGCTGGTTGCACTAGGCGAGGGGTTTGTTTTGTTTCGTTTCGTTTTTACTCCGTCCGGACACAGCCCTGAGCTGAAACCGGAAACCCACGGGCGTGATCCCTCAGCCTCTCGGGCTTGTATCACCGGGCCCGCCCCGAGGTGGTGCCGGGGCCGGGTCGTCGGTTTGACAGCAGAAGCCAAAATGCTGGTGGGGCTGGTAGCGTAGCGCGAGTTCAGCCTGAGCCACGTCTGGGGGCCGCTCCCCGCTCCCAACACACACCCCCCGTACCGCTGGGCCGAGCAGCGGGTCAGAACCTGCCCTCCCCTCCGTGTGGACCCCTTCTCCGGCCCCGGCGCTCTGCTCCCGGCCCTCCACCCCGGGGCACCAGCGAGGCTGGCGGGCCTCTCCCGGAAACACCTTTGCTACCAGCGCAGGAGCGGGCCAAACGGCTGGAAACACCAGCACGGTGCTTTACCCCTTAGCAGCCGCTGAGCAATGAAGCGAAGCCGGGCACCTGCACCTGCCCAGCGCTGGGGCCCACCTGTGCCAGCGCGCAGGAATCCCAGGGGCCGGCCTCCCTCCCCCCGGCGACTGTCTCTGACCGGGGGCGGGGGGCACCTAATAAAGGGGAGGGCAGGGAGGCAAATACCACCCCCTCCCCACGCCCACTGCTAATGAAGAGCCTATTGCGGGGAACAACAGGCACGTGTACCGCCGCCGGGCATGGGCATTCACCGCCACCCCCCGAGGGGCTGAAAGAGCCAAAGGCATGAAAAACAGTAACAACGCACCCAGCGTGTCCTCTCGGGCTCCGGGGTCTGCGGCATCCACCAGCGGAGAGGCGACGTGGAAAGCGACACCGGGGGGAGACCCCCCCCGCAGCAACCCACCCAGGCGGCGGGTACAGGCACAGAGGGGCGGGGGGAAAGCTCCGACCCCCAAGCGAAGCTGTGCGCCTCACTCCCCCCAGCAACCCCTGAGCGCTTCCGTCGCTCAGCGAGGAGCTGCGGCTTTGTGGGTTTGAGATGCAATTGCCGGCGTTGCTGCTGTCGCCCAGGTTCTTCCCAAGGTGGTAGCAGGCGCCTGCCTGCCACAGCCAGCCGCCGTCGCCACCCTTGACAGCTCCCCGGGCCGCAAGGTAAAATCACCCGCCGCCGCCTCGCTCCAGCCAGAGAGCCAGGGTAATGTGCGGCACCTGGGCTCAGGCGGGCCGCGCGGGTGTCATTTCAGGGCTGGGCGGGGCTGCTGCGCCGCTCCAAACCAGGAAGAAGAACTAGAAAGACACAGACAAGATGAAGCTCCTGGCTCGCTGCTCAGCGTTTCGAGTATAGAGTAGTTGACATCCAAGAGCATTATGGGAAATGAAAGCAATGGCCCATGCAGTCGGATAAGTCCTTCTGGGGCTGGGCAAGGGAGGCAGAAGAAACCTCGGATACCTGTCATAGGTAGTACAGTGTGTAAGGAAGCGGAAGGGGGGGGGAAGGGAAATGATATACTTCACATTTAAAGGAAACACACACAGGTAAGGCTAGGATTGGAATAGATCTCAGCTCTGTAGTAAATAAAGCACGCACACTGTGTAGTGCTCTGTGCAAATCTTCAAGGGGCACGGTGAATGCATTTACTGTCCTGACACAGGGGATCTTTCATATTCGAATCAAGGCCCTGCAGCACCAGCAGACATGTATCCCACTAACTACACCACCTGTAATCAAATTGAGTGTAATCAGGACTGGTGGGAGGATGTTTCACACCCTAGGCAAAACTTCCACCAAGGCACCTCTCCCCTACGGCAGCTCCCCACACCAGCCCTGCCTCCTTCCTGAGCACGCCATGGCTGCTTCACTTCTCTGGCATCGCAAGCCTGGGAGGCGGGAGAAGTGAAGCAGCCACAGCATGTGTGGGAGGAGGCAGAGTGGGGAGTTCCCCTGCATACCGCCCCCCCCCCCTTGCTGCAGGCGGCCCTCCCTGCACTCCATTGCCCCAGCTCCTTCCACCTAAATGCCAGTGGCAACCGGGCTGGCTGAAGATCCGGCTGTCGTGGGTGCTGCTGAAGAAAATGGTGCCCCAGGCGACCACCTAAATGGTTGCACCAGCCCTGAGTGTAATGGAACTACTGCTTTTAGGATCCAGTGTTGATAAGTCATGGTTTTATTGCTAACCTCATACAACATGGGGTGTGTCTTAAAGTTCCAGAACTAAGTAGTGTTATTATATGAGAGGGTCAGCAAACTTCTAGCCCTTGCATGTGTAGAGAAGAGTTTAAAAACACTGTTGTGTGTTTTTGACCTTCTAGGATCAGACAAGCCAAGCCTGAGTTGGGGGCCTGTTGACTAATATTTATTATATATATGTTTTTAATGCCAGCAACATATGTATTATCAGCACAACATATACACATAATACCATAGTTGTGGTTAAAGCATACTCCATGTGTGTATATAACAGTGATGTAGCCTAGACTGGCCTATACCCTGATCTTGTTCATTTATGCTATGTATCCCACACTACCTTGCCTTTGCTGAAGCAAGCATTTGGCACAAGCCGCTAGAACGAATCTATGTCTTAATTTTTGACAAGTTTCCTATCTTAGTACAAGCTGGGGAAGTAGCTTCACAGGTCAGTACCTGGAATGCTACTATCCCAAACAAAGATAAGGAAGGAACAAAACAAGTTAGGGAAGTGGAACAAACTGAGGGCTTGGAGTTTAGTAAAATGTAAAGAAACGTCTAGCTTACAAAATCATATAAATAATCAGCTGAAATATGTAAGTTGGGTAGTATAACTTCTGCATGAGATGAATATTGCATAGGACTGCTCTTTGGAGACTGGTATATATAGAACCTTTTTCCCTGTACTATCTTAATAAATGTGATTAACAGTTGTTTGTTATGAAATATACGCAAGAGATCACATAACCAAAGTTATTATTATTGCATATTTACTCAGAATTGCAAAATCAGGAAATCAGTCACACACTAACACCTAAGCTTCTTTAGGCTATTATTTTTCTGCTGTCAGTCTATTTGGGTCTTTGTCCTACCTTATGTTCCATGTTTAGGCCTTAACAGGTGGAAAGTTAGGGTATGCAGCCCTCCTACTAATTCCATATTTTTAGTGGTACTGTTCATTATCCACTTTATTTACAACAGCAAATACAAATGTTTAGGTAACATCTCTGATAAATAAAAACAAGCAGAAGCCTTTGAAGATTTGGGATCAGTTTGTGAAGCCATCACTCTCATTGATGAGCAGTTATTTGCACAATTAGTCCCATTGAAGCCCGTGTGATGACTTACTTCCAATAGAAAAAAAGGGGTTCACAATGCAGCCCTTTAATATCAAAATTGCAGCACGAGCATGCTAAAAATTAAGCCAGCAAAACAAAATACTATACCACCACCAGGAAATGAAGGGGGGGGGGAGGAAGCGGAGGAGAGAGGGAGAGAAGAACCCTAGATCGCAAAACTGGGGAAGGAAGAAGTATCTCAAACATTAGCCCATACAAAGTTCTTTTCATTTTAGATTTAGGAAACACTGAATACTACTTTGACTTAAAACACCTTATAAAAATCTCTCCCAAAAAAGGATTGCTCTCCCAGATTAAATCTTGTAATTAGGAGCATATTTATAAGGAAAGTTTGACTACAGTCTTGCGAAGACTTGTGTGTTTACCGTTGAGCATATGAACAGTCTCACCTTTTTTACAATTAAAGTTCAGTAACTTTAAAAATGGGACAGATGACACTCCTTGGAAGCACAAAACTTCAATATAAGTCTCTGTGCTTCTATAAGAAGCGTGTCAGATACTGCAGGCCCCAGGAATATTCAAGCTTCTGTATCTATAAATAGTATATTTGCAAGCTAGTTATGTTGTACCTTGATAGATGAGGATTACCAAGCTTGCTCTAGGAACTAAAAATCAAGGGGGGGGGGGGGAGACTTACTGCAAAACCCAGGACAGAAACAACTCCAGAAAAATACCACCTCTTGGGGGAAATTTCATATTTTGGTTCAGACCAGGCTGAAGAGGTCCAGCAGACAAAGAAAGGACTTTTGGCATAGAGGGTCAACCTGAACTAGCTCAGATCCCTGGGACTGGGCTTCTTTGAAAGATAGGTTGCCTGATACACACTTTGAGGAATGACTTTGTAGTTAGTAAGTGGTCTGCTAATGATTGACAGAGGTCTGCACAGGTTTTCAAATCCAATTATTTTTCTTGGAGAGTTTGACTTGTGTGGTAAAAAAGTGTTGTAAAGTTTCATTTCACATGGTCAACATGAATACAAACTCTAGTTTTTGCATCTTGTTTGCAATGTTTTCTGCCTCTTGCATAGTTTCTCCCTTTTGTGATTGGTCTTTAGAAAGTATAGCTAATGCATCCACAATCTTTGATTAGGACTCCAGTATTGCACTTGTTGCCACTGCATGTGCCTCCCAGGGAGTATTAGAAAGATTTCAACACATGATCATTGCCCAAATATGTTTTAAGAACTGCCCATCCGTGTGTTGAGGCAGAGAAAAATGTATAAAGTAACTGGACTGTTGAGAAAAACCTTACTGCCAACGGACAATCAACAGCACTACAGCCAACAAGATTGTGTGCAACACATGGTATGAATATGGCATATTTGTTCTGTTCTAAAAGCTTCTTCTGCATTCTTTGCTAACACCCTGACATGTTGGCAGCCTTGTCATAAGATTGACCTCTGCACTTTGAGAAATCTATTTTGCAAACTTGGCACAGATAATGCAGTACTTGATTTGCCATTTCTTCACCAGTGTGGCTTTTCAAATTGAGGAATGTTATAAATCATTCAGCTGGTTTTCCATCTGTTGGAGACACATTAGTACAATACTCAATTGATCAATATGTGAAAGATCAGGTGTGGAGTCGACAGAAACTGAAGTACCCAGCAGTACTTATTTCATCCACACTAGCTGAATGAACTTTGTCACTCATTAGACCAATCACATATTGTCTTGGATAAGTATGATGGGTTACCTTTGCCAGCATTCCCATATTTTGAGATATGGCCTGCTAAAAATGGGTCAAACTGAGCCACAAGCTCCAACAATCCTGAGAAATTTCCATTCTTCAATGATCCAAATGTGTCATTTGATCCCCAGAAAGGCAGACCACGTTCAGCTAATGTTTGAACAGCTATAACATGCTGCAAGACATGTTGCCAGTATTCACGCTCCCCTTTAATTTGTTCTTCCAATTTTTGGGTCAATCCAAAACCGTCTTTGATTTAAATATGTCAACATTGATTCTCTGTGAGTAGTGCTATTTTCATGTTGTTCAATTAAAACAGTATTCCACCAGTCACTATCCATCTGCAGCAAACCGGGATGTTGAAAGTTTATATGCAAAAAGTTTACAAACAAAATGGTACACAGACCTTGTTGATGGTGAATACAATAGCCATTTGAGAGTATTTCTCAGTATTCACTTTTATGCCGAAAAATATTTTTTGTGGACAATCTCTTGTTTGCCATTGGTAAAAGTCTGACGTGATTTCTCAAATGGCTCAGTGTGTTGTTGACAGTCATTTTGTCCATGATCTATCCAGTAAGCTACTGAATCAATCCACATACCAGGATCTTTTCTCCTATTATTTACAGCATGAGCAGGTTCAGTCTGACACATTCACACCTTCTAGAACAATGTCCGTTTTACCACCAGGAGTAGGATGATCAGTTATAGTCTGATTTCCTCACATTATTTCGATCTATGATAGTAGGATGCCCCCCTGGTTTCAGTGGGGATAAGTAATAAAAAGAACAGAAAAATGGGGGAAGAGTGTATAGTGGAGTGTAAGGAAGTCTAACAACATTCTGATTTTTCCCCGTGATGACCACTTCGATGCTTTTTTTTGAAAGATCAAATATTTTCCCCAGAAAAATCTCGTTTTTTATGCCCCCTGCTTTGCTGGTGCCCTAAGCACGTGCTTAGACTACCTATTGGGTAATCCAGCCCTGGTGCTGGACTAAGGTCAGACCTGCTGGGATAAACATAGGAAATTGCAGAGAGACTGCAAGCCTGAATTCCCAGTCTGAAAGGAGGAGGACACAGGTCTCTGCCCATGGAGAGGTGACAGCTGGAGACCTGACACCTAAAGGCACTGGTGCAGTTAACCCCAGAATTGGGGCAGCTGATCTCCAGAAATATCTAGGCTTCTTAACTAAATTAAATTGCATAGGTCACTTATGCAAATAAATCCATGAACAAAACCAGACCCAAAATACTACCACCATCCCCTCCAAAACAGAAATAATTTTCATAAAGAATCCACAATAAAGAAACTGAAGAC